TTTTTTTTTTTTTTAAATATTATGTCGAAATATAGTCGAAACAATTTTTAACAGATAACATACGATAGATAATGGATTAACGTCCCTTTTCGAATCGATCTCGAATCGAAAGAAATTGAAATTACTCGTTTATTGTTATTAGAAATATTTGCATACGTCTAGTGTGCCGCTTCAACTCGAAGACCTACATATTTACGTCATCGATTTCATAATCCATAATTATATTATCTCCGTTTCAACCAACAATCGTGTTGTTCCAATTAATAATAAAATCCGCTAATCAAGTCTGTTGTTGCGATAACGAAAATATTGACGAAAAACACAAAATGGAAAAAGTATGGGCCGAGCAACAGATAGATAAATGGAAGGATCGAACAATCCGTGTGAATAAACAAGAAACGGTGCACAGCCTCGACTCTCTCTCTCTCTCTCTCTCTCTCTCTGTTCATCGACCGAGAATTCGAAATTAATACGCGAAAGGGATCCAGGTCAAGTAATAACGCTGAAAGAGCTATTGTTTCCAGCGTTTCAGCAACGAAACAAGATTTTCATCCGCAGACACCCTGTCTGTCCCGGGAGGTCGACAAAAGCGGTCGACTCCTGCACCCGTTTCCCGCCTACGCGTATCGGAATTGCCACTCCGCCAGTGGATTCGTTCGGTATGCACTTGACGTCTTTGACCCAATCCGCGCAAATGGTGTACATATGTATACACAGTGATCTCCTTTGTCACGTGTGCCGATAATTAGACTCAAAGTTAAGCGCACACGCTCGATAATTAGGATCGGAGTAAGCCTATTACGCGCATTGCGTTTTCCGTGCGAACCGCATCGAGCAATTACACGCAGCAATATTATTAAGGAATATTATTAAGCCGATCAGAAATTATCACTATCGCGGGGAGAAGAGAAAAAATCGTCTCTCAAGTTTCACGAGTTTGGCCGAATTACTCGGCTCGATCTTTATCCGCGTTAAAACTTAAAGAAGTTAAGGAGAAAGAGATTCCAGATTGTTCCCCACATTGGGCAACAAAACAACGGGTTAAATTAAATTTGTTTAATCGCGGTCAACTTTTTACCTTAATTCGGTTTCGCGCGCGATTCTTACACGGCATCTTTCGATATAATCGCCTTTCCCGAATTCTCCGCCATAATGCAAAAATCCAATTACGCGAAGAAGGGAATATCTCGCGGAAGTTTGAGCTCGAGGGCGGAAAATGGAGATCCAGTTTGGCCGGTTCGCAACAAGCGATTTCTGTCGGAAGGCCAGACCACGAATTTGCTCCGACTCGGTAGTTTCGCATCGCCGGCCCGCTCCCGGATCCCTCCTCTCTTCCCATTCCACACCGACACGGAACCGAT